CCAGGTCTTCAACCAGTTGAACGTATACTATTCTTACCTTGCGAACATGGTTTTGCAGTCCTTTTACACCATAGTTGCGTATGACAAACCACAATTTTAAGGCTCGAAACCGCTTACTGAGAGGTATCTGCCAGTGCTGGAAATAAAAAAAACATTTTTTAAGAATACGTAAAAAATAAGTAAATAATAAAGCAATTAATATAAAGTACTAATCATTAGTAAAGTATTTTTTTGTGTTGCATCTTTAAAAAGAGTAATGCGTTAAAAGCTACAGCTGTAAACTGACGTGAAGTTTATGTCACAATGAAAAAATATTTCAGTTGTTAAGATAAAAAATATGTGTACATATTTTACAAAACAAAGGGAATGTTTACTGAGAAGGTAAACACTTACCATAAAATCAACTGCAAGTCCTGAAATAAATATGAGAAAATAATCAAACAACCAGGAGAAGGTTTATTTACACTTCTATTTCTATTTTTATCGAGATAACTGTATAGCATGGCTATGTAAGATATTTTGAGAAAAAAACAAACATACTGTCTATTTGACAATCTCTTACTTATTCAGTTATCATTTTTTTACATTGATGTTTGATAAAAACATTTAAGTATGAGAAGAAACGCAAAACATAGAAAAGGGTATTTTTCAAACTTGAAAAGGTAACATAAAGCTGTCTCTGTTATTGTATTTTTACGCAGTGACTATATCATTTATATAAACATATATATACTGTCTTTACCAGAGTTTTCATGTTGCAAATATAACGGGTCAACATTGAAAGTTCGATGAAGAGCGCTACTTTTCTTGACCCTGTAAAAGTGAAAAAACAAAAACCGACAAGAGATTCTTTAGTATTGACATAGGATTTTGTTTTCGATTTTAAACACCCTTAATTGTATATAACGTTTTAATGCTTTAGGATTATTTCAGGACTTTCCATATGAAAAATAAAAAGTTTTGTTGACACAGGGCAACTCCCAGTCACTTACAGGCGAATTACACAATGAACTGGTCCGAAAGGTAAAACGCAGAGAACCGAGAGTATATCCAAACTATGTAAAATTACACGTGTTTTCAGTTTACCGCCACTTACCGTGTATGGCAGTATCAAATGTAAAAAGCATATTGTACAACAACGTGCATATTTGCATCATAGATAGATGGTTTCTTTTTTTTCAATTTACTGGTACGTAATATATGGCTGGACAGTAGAAGTCAGCCATCATCCACTTTGAAAAATTAAAAGTTAAATGCAAATAACTAAGCCTATTTTACACCATCTACAATTATATTAGTCCACAGTGTACAGAAGCTTACCACATGACGGTTCCGTCTTAGTATATCGTTGTCCAAAGTTAAATACAAAAGAACGAGAATATTCAAATCATATATGTTTATCCTTATCTACAGTTTACAGACGTTTACCACATGGCTGTACAGTCGAAGTGTACCATCATCCACTTTGAAGGGTTAAATGCAAAGGATTCAGCGTATTCAATACCATCCATCCACACTCGAAATTCTGGACAGATGAAGGCCGTTCCTGCGTAAGCTGCATCCACATGAAGCCAGATGTTTTCTTGGAAACCTATTGGTTATTAAGGAAGTGTACTTTAGTAACTTTGATCAGTTTCATGAGCTTCTGTTAAACCAACTTAGTGTGTTAGACAAAAATGTCAGTTTTTTTACTTAGAAATGTTTCATAATGGTATATTTTGGTCGTACACACCAAGTGATGAAGTATAAAATAGGGTTGAAAAAAGTTCGAATCTCACTATAACGTAAACCTAAATAAATAGAAATTAGTGGGCATATGTGTGATATAAATATATGTTCATTTTTTTGTTTATGGATAAAGAGCCATTTTATATTATTGGCCGGGTAACTACACATATTAACGAAACCTATGTCGTTTATTGTTTAGATTAAAACTACACAAGGGACTGTCAGCACTCTGTCCACCGCGTGGAACCGAATCCTGGAACTTAACGTTGTAAGTCCATAAACTTATCACAGGGAGACTAAGAAGCCAAAAAACACAATTGGTGTATATTAAGTCATTTTTTGTTTAATTCGTTGTGGTTAAATATAACCACCACCTTTTGTTTTTTAGAATATGACAAACGAATAAAACAAAACAGCTATCATTTTGAAAGCATTTGCAATTGCAATAAAATTACTCAACATCTAAAAGAAAGAAAGATAATAACTGTTGGCACAGATTGTAGTTATATGGTAGTTAGATTCATGATTGGAGGGGTATGCTGACAGCTAAAGACTTTCGATATAAACTGCACTTTAAAGTAGTATCTTCAATTCTAGCCAAAACATAGTAGATTTAATTCCTACATTATTATTATAATATATATATATATATATATATACTCTATAAATATATTAAAGTGTATACACTTATATCAAGATAAAAAGGCAGCAGTTTTTCATGTTTAGATGTACACTAAATACTAGAGATGAAAAAAAAACGTAGGTCTGGGAAAATCAATGTAAAGGAACCAAAATGTGTTGTGTGTAGAGTTAGGTAAAGAAAACAAAACCGGGTTTAAATATCTCTGCATAAGAAATAAGACGTACAAAGTCATTCTGGCACTACGATTGTTAAATATTACGCTAAGTGCGTTTGTATGTAGTCATGATGTTACTATAACTGTTACAAATTGCACTAGTTTTGCTTATCTGTAGTTGTGATGTTATTATAACTGTTAGAAATTGCACTAGTTGTGCTTATTTGTAGTTGTGATATCACTATAACTGTTACAAATTGCACTAGTTGTGCTCATCTGTAGTTGTGATGTTATTATAACTGTTACAAATTGCGCTAGTTGTGATGTTACTATAACTGTTACAGATTACACTAATTGCGTTTGCATATAGTTGTGATGTTATTATAACTGTTACAAATTGCGCTAGTTGTAATGTTACTATAACTGTTACAAATTACAGTAATTGCGTTTTTATATAGTTGTGCTGTTACTATAACTGTTAGAAATTGCACTAGTTGTGCTCATCTGTAGTTGTGATGTTATTATAACTGTTACAAATTGCACTAGTTGTGATGTTACTATAACTGTTGCAAATTGCACTAGTTGTGCTCATCTGTAGTTGTGATGTTATTATAACTGTTACAAATTGCACTAGTTGTGCTCATCTGTAGTTGTGATGTTATTATAACTGTTACAAATTGCACTAGTTGTGATGTTACTATAACTGTTGCAAATTGCACTAGTTGTGCTCATCTGTAGTTGTGATGTTATTATAACTGTTGCACATTGCACTAGTTGTGCTCATCTGTAGTTGTGATGTTATTATAACTGGTACTGTCGACACCTTCAAATATATATTTTAAATATCACGAGCCCTTGTATATTGGCAGTCGAAATAAAGTATTTAACACTACAGATGCTCGAAACTGTGCAGTCATAAACACCAATTATTTCCTTAAGAACCAAGAAATTATTTTGTTCTTTTAGCTTTGTCTATGATTAAAAATAATTCTATTTACATTTCCGTAAATTTTCAATGCTATTTAAAACTAAGAAGATGTATTAAATATTAGTTCAATACTTAAGATTGAGAAAGAACAGTACGATTTTAGAAGTTTTAACGGTCTCACATATCTGGTGAGCAGCAGTAGTAAATTCTAGGCCTTAAAACTTTAGGATGGAGATGAGTGTGTTAGTTATATGTAAACAGTGTAACTGGAGAATGTACAATGATTTTGCAAGCATGTAATGCTATGTAAATTTTTGCTGTTGCAGCAAGTCTAATAAATGAGATTTCTGCTGAGAAAGTTAATTTAAAGGATCCAGATTATAACAGTAATTACAGGTCGTACATATTCGGCAATCGCACATTTGTTCGTTTGTGACTTCTAATTATATTCAAGCTTGGGTCCAGTGGATCAGCAGTAAGATGGTTTATGCGTTAAAAACGATATCTGTGGTGGGGCAAATGCAAGTAGTCCATCGTGCAGCTTTGCGCTTAAACACAAACAAACATTATATAGTCTTAAAAGTATGTTAAAAAACAACAGTACAATTAGTTGAGCTTCACACATATCTAGGATATGAGAATTTATTAGGCCACATTAAAAACACAAGATTACGATAAATTCAATAATGATACCAATACGTCATTTCTTCTTGAGGATCGTCGTTAGTTTCTTAAGTGTAAGGCTGTATAATGGTCTATTTGCACTATGCACGTGTAGTTCAAATTTAATGAACAAATACGAGGTATACAGTATATACATGTATGTGTGTGCATGGATGGGGGTGCCGTCTAAAAATCTTGAGACCTACTGCTCCAGCCTACCGCTGAGCCAACAGGGGGCTTTTATTTTTTTTTGCCAAGGTCACCAAATCACAATAGTTAAATTAGAATAGCATGAGTTCCAACTTTAAAAACTATTTCTATTTTTTTTTAAAGTCTGTGTTAAGTGTACTTAACTGTTTTATAGAGAAAAGAAAACTATATTCTAGGCTTCACTTACATGTAGGTCCAATTTCTCGAAGATTATCAAACGCACAAGCACCAGTTGTTCCGAGTGTGGCACAAAGCTGAACAAATATATAAACAATACCGTTAAGTATTTTTTTATTTTGTGATGTTCTACTTTTTTTTAGAACAATAAACATTATATCATATCAACAAATCACGATAAATGGCAAGAAATGTTTTCATATTTAGAATTTTATTTTTGGGTGGTTCTGTATAATCTTTAATACATTTGCTTTTAACGTACGATAGGTAGCCTACAGACTTAACGAGTATACAGTCTAAACTGACTGATATTAAATGGAGTAAGTATCTTGATCACTAGCGGATTCAGGAGTGGTGCGGCCTCCCTCCCCTTTTTCATAATTTTGCGCCATAAAGTTCTATAACTAAAGTGCGCCACTTTTAACAATAAATAATTTCAATAAAATATTTTATTTCCTGCCTTTCCTAGCTACAGGCTAGTAATTTGTAATATTATATTTAAGTTTTATGTATCATATGGTTGCATCGATATGAATGATGTATGCTGAAAGTATACGGCGCCTATCCATGCGACCGTACCCTCTTTCCAATACCCTAGATCCGCTACTGATCTTTATGATATCTTAGTAAACTCCAGATGGAATTTCTACTGTCTTTGAGTATATCTTTCTATAGTAAAACTTTAGTACTTCAAACTGTATTTAATCAAACAATTTCCAGAGCGGTTGTGTAAGAACACATCTGAGTATATTATTATTGCTGATAAAGACACAGTTTTTAATGAGTCAGTTTCCAGAGCGAATGTGTACGAACACATCTGAGTATATTATTATTGCTGATAAAGACACAGTTTTTAATGAGTCAGTTTCCAGAGCGGATGTGTACGAACACATCTGAGTATATCATTATCGCTGACAAAGATACAGTTTTTAATGAGTCAGTTTCCAGAGTGGTTGTGTACGAACACATCTGAGTATATCATTATCGCTGACAAAGATACAGTTTTTAATGAGTCAGTTTCCAGAGTGGTTGTGTACGAACACATCCGAGCGCATCATTATCGCCGAAAAAATAAAGACTTAAAAGCATGTTGCCCTACGGTTAATATACTGATCAAACTGACCTGTAAAAGTCATTTGCTATGCTTATGTCGCTCCCCGTTTCTTAATTATATCACAGTTTGAGCTAAGTCATTTTTCCACAATATTTCACCCGTACATTGTGAAGGTGACTAACGTTTATTGGTCAACTCCTACTTTTTCAATTCATTCACGACGTAACTAACAAGATGTAAACCACTTACTCATGAATAACTTGTAAGACACATATAATAACGTTTTAAGAAGCACCGTACTGGCGTGTACGTATCTCAGAAGTAATCCTTGGTGATATGTGTTGATGTTTTCTTGATTTATGAATTCCTCCAACAAATTTTGACAAATCGGTTTGAATTATTTTCGTGTAGGCTCTTACCACAGAATATAAATGAATACAAATACGTAAAACAGTCGTGCGGGGGTGGGGAACAAAATGCTTCTTTACAGTGCTCTCAGGCCTGCTTCATTTGTTATAAAGCACAAAGCTATACAATAGAATATTTGTGCTATACTTTCCTCGGGTATCAAAATCCGATTTTTAGCGTTAGAAATCCTCATATTTACCGCTGAGGTTCGGCTAAACTGATTATCTTGGAAATTTGTATTAACACGTAAGGAACCGTTCAAAACAATACTTAAATTCATGTTTTGAAAATTTTCAGATTCCAGACCCCCAAACATGAGTCAAATGAGTTTTAGGGGTTCTCAGGACTGGATCCATGGGTTTCCATGAAAAATAGTACAGGTGCTCGAAATTAATAACTACATTTAGATTTTTAATGTTTTCGTACTAGGAACCATTGGGAGATGAAGGGGATCTTTGTGGCTCTCAGAATTAGCTGGGAAGATGAAGGGGATCTTTGTGGCTCCCAGAATTAGCTGGGAAGATGAAGGGGGATCTTTGCGGCTCTCAGAATTAGCTGGGAAGATGAAGGGGATCTTTGCGGCTCTCAGAATTAGCCGGGAAGATGAAGGAAATACTTGTGGCTCTCAGAATTAGCTGGGAAGATGAAGGGGATCTTTGTGGCTCTCAGAATTAGCTGGGAAGATGAAGGGGATCTTTGTGGCTCTCAGAATTAGCTGCACCGATTTACTTGAAAACTGACAACAAGTTGTAAGTTGTCGCTAGAAACAAGATGTGCAAAAGGTGCTTTTTGTTGTTTTCCCTGAATTTTCACGAATAACTTCCGGTGAAATAGCAGAGAAGGTTTCTGTAACGATGATAAACGGGTAAGCAACATTAACACTTAAGAGTCACGTTATATTCCATGTTGTTAATTGACAGACGTGGCTGGCACAAAATACGCTTGCAATTTACAGCTTGGCCACGCTGGAAACGTGTATGAAAACATATTAGGAACATGTTTATGGCAACAAAAGATCATAGATAGTCCCACAAGATTACCTTGTAACACAGTAAATGTTAGTTTATATAAAAAATATAAAGTATCAATGCTCTGACATCAATCTCACACTTTTCATTGCGTTTCTAATGACATCACGTGATAACCAAATACAGTTTCTAGGCTTCCTTTTTCATAAATGTGTTCTGCATATTTTCATATACTTACAAACTGACAAAGCTGTAGGTTGTATGGTTTTCCACTACTTATAAGTATTTTGTGCCAACTATATACTTCCCCACTCTTTGTAGCGAACTAAAAAACTCAGATATTTCTCTCTCTATATATATATAGTAACTTGAGTGATCTGAACAATAAGGTTTGATTGTTTGAAGTTAATCACAAAGCTACACAAAGGGCTATCTGTGCTCTGCTCACCACGGGTATCGAAACCCGGTTCCTAGCGGTGCAAGTCCGTGGAAAAACCGCTGTGCCACTAGGAGGCTGAACAATAAGAAAACGTACTCTACACTTCAAGTGTGTTTGGGTAGTCGAGGGAGATAAAACAAAAAAATAGAATAAAATGAGCTTGTTCGTTGTTACTGATTACCTGTACTCCAGATCAGTGGCGCGCAAAGTTTTGTATGGCACCCCCTTTCTAAACATACGTTTTGTTGCGTCCCCTGTAATTTTTTTACGTTAATTGTTATTAGTATATTACTTAATAGTAGAAATATTTGTATGATAATTTTTTTAACTTTTGTAATTTTACATTCCTACTTTTAGATATAATTTATATTTTAATATAGTCAAAGTTGCGGCTACCGACTTTCTACGGCCCCCTTCAAGGGCGCGCCCCACAGTTTGCGCACCACGGCTTTAAATAATCAACTAATTTAACCCCTAAAAATTGGAGTTTTCAATCCAATGACTTTCTTTTAAGGTTTTGTTTGGTTTTAAGCACAGAATTTCACAATGAAATATCTGTGCTGCACCTACCGCAAGGAATGAATCCCGAATATTAGCGATTTCTCGAAGAGAAATGATCTTTTCTGAAAGATAGCAGGAAAATATTGAAGCAAATTAATCGCTAGAAATGTAATCGAATAAAAACTATCAGGTGAAATACACGGAGTGAGAATTAAGGTCTGGAAAATTAAAGAGAGGCCGAGAAAGAAGGAAAGTGGTCAAACATAAAACGTAAGAGTTACTTTATTTATTAATTTAACAGTTTTGGAAACTGCGGAGAAAAGAAGCAGAAGAAAAAAACGGACAGCTCGTTGCTAAAAACATGCACTTTTCCTAATTTCTTTTGTGGGAATTTATTCTACATTAAATTATAAGCATGGACATAGTTCTGAATAATGACATTCAATATAAGTGAAAAGTAACATCAAAGTACCAGAATAAAACAGTATGAATAAAAAGTTGTAACGAAAAATTAACTCCTCCCTGCAAAAAACAAACAAACAAAGAACAAAAACACTCTCATGCTATTTCTAGTAATTCCCTGCTGGCCCGCCAGTCTTTTGCCTGGAATAAAATCGCGTCTTAACTAACGAACTAAATTGAAAATACGTTTCAATATTGTTTAAAAGAACACTTACAAAAAAGGGGATGAGCCCCTTTTCGCGGTCGTGTTCAATGACCTCAACCAAGAAATCCGTGCGCAGGCTCAGTTTATCATCACTTTCGATGTATCGCATCTTAACGAGACCAATTAATCCAGCCTTTTCCACCGAAGAATGAGCCTAAAGGGACATAACTTTCGTTAGTGATTTGATAGTAAGATTATGAACATTTATAAAATATTGACTTATAAACTGAAAGGGAATATGAAACATAACTCGCACTTATTGGATAAGAAATCAGTTTTATTTCTTAATTGAATGAGTGGAATAGAAAGCTTATTAACAATTTTAAATTTCCAAATAATTTCATTTCTCTTAGCCAATTCTAGATGAAGAATGTCTTAGTAAAACGAAGTTGTACACAAAGTATTGATTATTTTCTATATATATATATATATATAATATATAATATTTAGTGGTTAGTAAATTTTAGTTAATGACAAC